GCGTTTCTTTTATTAAGAAATAAGTTTTTTCGATTGATTTATATATTATATAATTTTTTTAGTTGAGTTCGACTCCAGTATCTCTTAATTTTAAGGGAGACTTGAATTTTGTTGTAAACATTTTTTTGTATTCATTTCTAATTATTTGATTGCTTTTGTTGTCATCAAAAGTATTTTATTATAAAAAGTGAATTTCAAATTATATAATCAATAAATTAATAAATAATTTTTTTTCGCAATTTATATAATAAATTAAAGACAATTTTTAAAAGAATAATTGACTAAAAATTGTTTATTACGTGAAATACTGGTATTTTAAACAGAAGTCAATCATAAATGAGTTTATATCTGTCTGAATACAGTTGTGTTTGACTGGAATATAAATGCTTGAAAAAATAAATTTAATTTTTATAATTATTGTTAACAGTAAACCAATTAAAAGTATTTGATTTGCATTCATAATAACGTTAAAAGTTTGTTTTTAATCTAGTTTATGTCACATACTAGACTATACAGTAAGTTAGCTATCAATTTGTTTTTATATTAAAATGTTAAAGTTATACTTATTAATTAAGGATACCATCAAATTTCAGCTAAAAATTTTAATATTTTATATAAAAGATTATCTTAACTGTAATTATTAATGAAAATTATATTAATTTTATAATTTCAGATTATCACAACTTAATTTAATTTTCCGGAAAGAGAGAGAGAGAGAGATTTAACATTTAACAATAATAATAATTGTATAATTATTGTATTCTCTCAAATAATTTAATTTTCATGTTTTTGTGTCTTTAAATTGATTGAAAACTAAAATGTTTTATTTGTATTACGAAAAAATTATATTCAATGGCATACAATTCATTGAATATATTGCAACTGTTTTGATGTCATAATAGATAACTATTCCGGTTCTTTGAGGGCAAATGAAAAGCATTTTGTAGAAAGTATCGGCCCTTTGAGGCACAGCTTCTGGCTTTTCATGCAAATCAATCTTCACTTTCCTCTCATCTTTGATTTCTATCATTTGCGAGGAATTGACAAAATTTGGGTTAAATTTTGAGATCAAATAAGACTCAATAATTCCTCTCTGAACTCATTCACTCTCTCATCCCATTCACGAATTTAAATGCTTTTCATTTAATAAATATATTTTTAAGCGTAAAGTGTTTTAAAAAAGTGTTGATTTTGAGACAATGATTCGAAAGGTATAAGAATTATATGATCCAAATTATCCACAATTTCAATTATTTTATCAACTTTTTTATTCCAGATTTTTGTTTGGTTTTGTATTTTTCAATCAATTAATTGCCAGAATTCTGGTCAACAATCGTTTAACATTAAAGAGCCGTTTGTCTTCGATCTGCCGCCTCTTCAACTACAACCTCTTCAGCTAAGACTCAACCCGTCGTCGTCTTCACTATTTTTAGTGAAACAAAACGAAACCATTCCTATCGAGACCTTTCCCTCGCAAAGCTCACCAAACAATCAGTTCAGTCAAACGCAGCCAAAGTTTCAAAACATCCAAATACCACAAAATGTTGCCCCTATTTCTCCACAACCCGTACAACCGATTTCCACTCCCGTTACGGCCCAACCCTTAGCGCCCAAACAGTTTCAATTCTTACCCTTAACTTTCCAGCCCTTTCCTTCTCAACAACCTGCGCCCAAATTCCAGGCTTTCCAGCCTCTGGTACAGCAATCACCAGCCCCTCAACCATTACCGCAATCCCAACCTAAAGCCACTCAAACTTTGCCCCAAAATGCTGCCCAATTAGTGCCGCAAAATGTACAGCCAGTCGTCCCAAATGACTCCCCCGTAAGCAACGAAATCCCAAACATTGAAAGCGTGTTGAGAGACCTCTCGCTGTATCAATATATCCCGTTTCAATTGCCCGCAAATGCCTTCATATTTCAACAACCGATTCAGTTTCAAACAAACCCGACTCAAACATTTCAATCGCCAGTGAGTGATAAAAACACTCACGTATTACCGCCCGTCACTCTTCCGGCCATTAATCTGCCGCCAGAGGAATCGCCGATTAATATGTTTGCCATTGAATGGCCCAATACTTCCAACAAAAATATCGAAACACCAGTTGGTGCCAAACCCGCTGAAGCCGTCACTCAAGCGCCACAACAATCGCTTCAATTTTTACCAGTTTCTCAACCGACTCCTCAACCAATTGCTCAATCAGTCCCTCGACCACAAACTCTGAGTCCAATTATACCCCAACAAACTCTGTTCCCGAAACAAGCGATTGGTTCCTATAGACAGTCTCTTTTCCAAACGGTTCCCAATCTCTTTAAAACTAACTTTTCTTTCAAACCACAAACTTTGTCTTCATTTACACCAAAAGCTGTTTCGACTCAAACAAAACCCAATGAAAATTTGCTAAACAATAGATTCTTCAGTCAAACCGCATCTAATACTCCTACAGTTCCCAGTTTGCCATCAGCTCCTGTAGTCCCGACTACCAAAGCCAATCAGGAGGCCCTCAGAGCCAGTATTAAAAAGTTTATAACAAAGCCATCGATTGAAACTCAATTATTTAATAAACAATCGCTGCAAACAATTAATCAAAAATTTACCCAATTTTTGATCCCAACATTGGCTGAAGCGACCGAATCTCCGCTACCTATCGATGACAACCAATCAGTTAATAATGAGAATCAGTAAGTTTATCGTCTCGTATTCACATACAGTATATTTGTGTTAAGTTTTGAAGTTTTTAAATATTTATAAATTAACAGAATTATAAAGTTATTTTAAAAACTAATTTTTAAGAAAAAAACGATAAAATTCACGAATAGAGAGTAAAATTATAAAAATATGTTTTAATTAATAATTTTTTAAACTACAGAATTGGATTTACAAATGAGCCGGAAATCAATCGCATACCCATTACTACTGATAAAAGTGTTAGCGAAACGAGAGATACGGTCGAGTTTGGCACTCGACTCAACAAAATTATCCCTTCGTTTACATCTTATTTCAATCGTGATTCTCAATAATGACTTTGAAATTGTAATTATTATTAAATCGATTTTTACTTTTAATTTATGGCTTTAAAAACCTATAATATTGTAAATCCTATAAAAATGAGTTTATTGTGAATATTTTCTGCTAACATCTTTGTAATTGATTATTTTAAAGAAATGTTTTATCAATTTGTGTTAAATTGTAATAAAAAATATTTAAACCAAACTAATGTTAAGTACCATATTTTTCACATAAAAATGAATTTTTAAACTTAAAAATGTTATTTCTTTAATGAGATATCAAATAAATGTTTAATAATTAATTTTTGTTATTTGAATATATGTGTGAATTGAAAAAATTGTTATCAGTTTGAAATACTTTTTTTCAAATATAAAGCACATAAGCCTTGTGTCAAAAAGTATAACTCATTTTGCTTTCCTTACAAATCTGTTAAACTTGTTTTGCGTTACAATTTGATGCTTTCATACATTATATGAATTTCTCTGTGCAAGAAACACCTATCTCTGAATGCTTTCATAGCTGTAACGCATTGTAAAGCATTCAAATAAATGCATTACAGTTTGAAGAGATCGGTGTTTCTTGCACAGAGCAATTCATATGTTGATTAATGTAATACATTGTGCGTTAATCTTAAAGAATTTATGTGTTTATCACTATTGAGATCAACACAAAAATTGGGCAAATTTGGTGTCATTTGTGTTAAGAATTTGTGATGAGATCGACAGTGAAAATGTTTTTTTCTCAAAAGTATAAACTTTTTATATTTGTGTTAATGTCAGTCACAGAATGGGTGAACAATATTGAAGTGAATGAATGAATTAAAAATACAGATAAGCTATAACTAACAGTAAAGATAATGTTTAAAAATAATAGAAATTATATAACTTTTACATAAAACAAAATATATATTTCATGGGTAGAGACAAAAACATGTTATTTACATAATAACAAAAAAACTAAATTTAATAATAAGTGTTTAATTCATTTCATAATTCTGTAATATTCTGCAACTCCTTCAACACATAAAATGATATTATTATAAGTTATATAAATAAGTTTCGAAATTTGAATTTAATTTTTAAACACAGTAATATTAATATCATTATTAATTTTAATGTAATGTTTTGTAAGCATTGAAATTTTAATCTTAAGTTTAATGTCTGTTACATGACTGACATTATAAATATCATCGCAATACTGACCCACAATTAACATAACAAACAATTCTAGTTTTTTAAATTTTAACTTTTTTATTAAAAATCAATATTAAATTACAAGTAATTAATGACAATCACAAAAAACTAATTTTTATTATAATTAATTGAATGAAATACAAGGTATTAAGATGTGTATCAATAGTTAATTATCTCTGTCTGTGATGTTAAAGCACTGTTCAGACACGACAACGAGTTTGCATTCATAACCCGTTCGCTTCACAAGTGTCTCCGTTTGTGGCCGTAATTTCATCTCAATATTTGCGCCTATAATTGAAATGTTGATTAAAATGCAAATCAAATCTATTATTAATGAGAAAAATTTAAATAACCATAAAATAAAACATGTGCTGAAATGCAAATTAATAAATGTTTAATTATATAAACTATTGTTTCGATACAGAAGTAAGAAGTGAATGATAAACTAAACAAGGAGCACACAGCGATGCTATACGTTAACCACTATTCGGGAAATGCATCAAAGATTTTAAATTTTTCTCATTAATAATAGATTTGATT